GACTGGTTTTGGGCAATATAGGTATATACTAAGTTTCAGTCTTTCTAGTGTTAATAAAAAACATGAAGGTTTATAATATGCCGTGCCATCGTACAGGCATATTAATGTGAATGAAGTCGCAGGATGCAACGCGATATGCTTGCACATGGTGGCTGTGGGAACATGGGGTACACCGGTCTTATGAGCTTCGCGGAAAGTCGATAATTTCTCGGTGGTCCTTTTGTCGCAACTTCTATACTCGCGCTTTGCCGCCGCGCCAGCCGGATTCTCCGTTTCCTCCTTCATTTCCTCATTCCCCGTTAGTCGACTTACGACTTATCCCCCAAATCCCATTTCTCCCTATTCAGCAGGAAACAGGAAAAGCTACAGTATCGCAAACATTCGCAGCGGCGCGGCGATGGTGCGGAGGCCGGATGTTCCTATCGCGGAAAGTAGACGAATAAAGTTTCGCCGCGAGATTCCGCTGACCCGACCGTTACCAGACAATGGGAGTAATCGCGTTTCTTTCTTAATTGATCGAACTAGCCAAATGAGATTTCGCCGATATGATTGGAAAAGGGAATGTCAATTACGATGGGAATCGACCATTCGATTCGATCAAATAATTAGAAGAAATATTAACAATTAATGTCTATCCATTTCTTGCCGGGTTTCACGGTTTAAGCGGAGAACGAGACGCGATAATGTGCTCGCGATTATAATCTCGGGACCGAACGAACAGAACGGAAACGGGAATTTCGACAAATTTGAATTTGTTGCAAACGTTAGTCGACTTCGGCGCGTGCAATTTGCTTTTAGCAAGTAACTCGGTTAAGGGGGAAATTTGCTTTAAATTTACGTAGTTAGGGAAGTTTACTCGGGGCGAAGTTAATTTTGGTAAAATTCACTCTCGCTAATTGAGACACGGTCGCACAATGAGCAAGTTTAAGACGCGGTCCGAGGGACGACGACGCTTCACTCCCCGGCATTAATAATAATTTCATTCTGTTCTACGATCCGTTCTTCTTTTGTTCGACAAATCTCTTCGCTGCTCGCGTATTCCGTTTGTGTAACATTCGAAAATGTGGGCACCTAAAATGAATCTAATATAAAAGCCAGCTTATTCGTAGTCCTTCGAAAATAGGAAACTAAAATTAATATCTTAATTTCTGTTCACCTCACAATTT